GAGAAAGAGAGAGAGAACAAAGTTGAATTCGTTTCATAGATTGCTGTGTTGTTTCCTTTTATCTATTCTAGCTTGTGGATGGTGAAGAAAGATAGATTTTGACGTTTGAATAATAAATAGATAAATAGATTCCTCTATGCTCACATGATGGTTTCCTGTCATATTTTGCATGCTTAGTGGTTTCTGCCTATAATGCCAACTTTATCACGTTTAACGTGTAGGAGTGAGCAGAAATGAATCAGCCTAGTTTGGTCTGAAGATAAAAGTTTTCTGACAGTTGTCTTAAATATTATTGCTGTTTGAAGAGGCTTTTTTTAGCTTGCTTGCTTCTCAGCAAACATTAAAATAAAGAGGCTCTCAGCAACCACACATACAATATATATTAAAATCGTTTTCTTGTTTGAGAAAGATACACATTTGATTTTTTAATTGAAAAGGCAAAAAGGAAAAGCAAATACTTCTCATATTTTTTTTCTGTTAAAAAAGAAACTTGCATATAAAAACATCAGGGAAAATCACAAAAAATCCATAAAATTATAAAATTACGAATCAGATTATTTTATATAAAAATTTGTCATTATTTGTCATTATATTGTTATCAAAACTTATACAAGTCTTATCCTGACTTAGGATTTTAAAATTTTTATAATATTTTTTAATGGGGTTGAGGAAAAGGGGAAAAAAAAAGACAAGTCTCTTTCGTGTCTCTGTTGTTGTCAAGAAAATGAATTCACTTGTCCCTTGTCATCTAATGCCCCTGTGAACGCTTATAGAGTCTTCATGTGATGTCTCAAGGAACAGTTCAGAAGGTCAAAAGGGAAAATCATAATTCTCATTCAAAATATATAAGTAATTGAGTGAATTAACTTAACCTTGCGTCCTCAAAATATATTTTCTCTTTTTTATTTGCTTGGGATTTGTCCTTCTTCAATTACACAATTCAAAAGTTTATAATATAATTTTTATTAAAATAAATGTTGCATAATTATCACTGAGTCTTTTGAGACAATTCATACTTTTCATTTACTTAGAAACATGTTCCCATTAATGTATACGTCAGAGTACTATTCTACGTTAATTAAGAAAAAATAAAATTTCGAAGCTCTCAATTTAACACTTGCACCTGAGTTTATGAATCTATAACTTCTCTTCTTTTTTTTTTTTTTTATAGTTAGGCATATTTCGATTTTCATTATCAGTCTCGCTTTGATGATAATTATAATTGGTAATTATTGAAAAGAAGGGAAAAAGATGTCCCAGCAAACATAGAAATTAAGTATACTACATAAAGATTAAATAATGATCAGAACAACAAAAGTATTACAGGTTGCTAGAGGTTAAAAACTTTAGAAATATCATGACTGATGATTGATTTTAAAAAAAATTGAGGCTTTCACCTCTAATATATGCCAACTAAATGATAGAGGCAAATGTCAAGTAAAAATGAAAAATAAAATTATGTGATGTGTAAAATGGATAGTAGTATATGACATGAACAATAAATATATGATAGATATATATCAAATATATAGAGAAATAGTTTTTAAGAAAATAGGTAAGAAAATACTATGCACACGTAATTTTTTTTGAAAAATATATTGAGAAAGCAGATATATAATATTTGTGTAGAAACCTAATTATATATAACAACATTACTGTACTGCCATGACGGGTCGTTTAGGTTTTCCGAAGTCAAACCCATGCAAAATCCCAACACATCTCTAGCAAAATCCAAAAATTTTTAATATGAGATTTCAAATAAGTCCAATATATGTATAAGCTTTGCGCAAAAAAAAAAAAAAAACTAATACTTTTCTGGCGTTCCAATGGGAATGATGAATAGGAAAATGAGTGTAACAACACTGCGTGTTTCACAAGTTTTTCTAAAAAAAAACATTTACCGCCGTCGCATGGAATATTGATGAACCTTGTCGTTTATAGGTTCTCAAAAGTACTAGAATCAAGTTATGAACTGCATGGGCTAGGTCGAACTCATGTTTTTAGTTTAGCTCAGTTCTGAATCTCACTCTCTTAATGAACCCTTATTTCTGCTTGTCTTTATTAATTATGGAGGCAGAGATATTAATATTGGGATTTGTCTCTTTCTCCTTCTCCTTTCTTCGTTGCTCTGCCTGTTTTCCTTTCTCAGCTATTATCTTCTGATCTCACTGCTGTACTCCAAGACCGTTTGAAATTTGAAATGGCAAAGGAGATGGAAGAAAGAAAGAACCGCTTGCCTTTGCCTCTTTCTTGTACTTGCGTCGGCCATCTGAAATGAATCACCAAAATGGAATCCATATATAGTGGCATCACCCATGAAAATAATCAGGACAAGCAAGTATTGCTAAAATACATTATTTTAAAAAAATTAAGATAGCCTAATATGAGAATGAATGTATGCTTGATTCAAATAAGAATGTTAAGACTAACTCTTTTTTAATATAAGAACTAGTTTATTAATTCAAGTAAATAAATGTTGATTTTTCTAAATACCCTTACTAATCATGTTCATGTATATTGGTTTGAACTATCATTTGATGAAATTTTAATATGTATAACTACTATAAGGACCTTTTTGAGAAAAAATAAATAAATATAAAAAATGGATTGGAATGAGATCTTATATTTAGAATCAAATTAAATGTCAAATTAGCTCTTACATTAAAAACAAGAGATAGTAAATAATAAGTACTTCAATAATATTATTTTTCTTGTTTTGTACTCCTCCGGTCCTTAATATAGGATCCAATTGTTGAGTTGGTTTTGTTCCTAAATATAAGACTCATTTCTTATATTTATCATTTTTCTCTAAATTAACCCTATGGGTATTCCCTCAACCATAATCAAGTAGAAGAGGGAGATAGGGTATTAAGAAAGATGATTATAGTGTTTTAGGAAAAATGTGTCACATTTCTTATAATTAACTAAGTTACCTAACTTCCTTAATCTAATCAAATTAGTTAGATGAGTCTTATATCAAGGACCGGAGGAGTAGCATTTATTGGTACTAATTTTTCATCAACAGAGCGAAGAGATCCAACTGGCGAACAATACCAGAAAAGATAGATATTTTCATCATTCTCAGTTATATAATGCTATATTACTTAATTGGAAAACACCTCTTTAAAAGGATGGAAATAGTAATTCTTCCAAACGAAACTTAAAACGATATAATGTATCATTAAAAAAAAAAAAGGACCTAACTTTTTAGAGCTGAGTCATTTAGTTTAGTTCTTTCCACAATATTAACAAGGGTTAAGGTGCAACTTTGACTTTGATCTTATTTTTCTGGTATAATTTTGCCCCTTATCTTTTAGTGGTGCAATTTTGTCCCTGATCTTATTTCTCAGGTATAGTTTTGTCCCTAATTTTTTTTCTCGAGTGTAATTTTATCTTTGATCTTTGGATGCGATTTTGACATTAAGGGGTAAAGTTGCACACACAAAAAGATTAAGGTTAAAATTGCACTACTAAAAAAATAAGGGCAAAATTGCACCTAAGAGAAAAGATTGAGGTGAAAATTAACAATTTTGCTCATGGACGTAATTTTGTTCGTGTTTTCTTAACATAGAGGATTGTCATTTACAATTTTTCGTATAATATTATATTAAATCCTCCCTTGACTACCTTATTTTAAAAACAAAATCCTCTCACGACCACTAGAGGTCGAAGGTTCGGCTGCCAAAGGTCGGAGTTCCAATCTGTTGGCCACCGAAGCTTGAGTGACAATTAATCTATTGTTTTAAACAAAAATAATAATCAGGGGTATTATTATCTTTTTATCCTTAAATTTTAATTTCATTTTGGTCTTGGGAAGAACTGAAATTTTGGAGTCTTTTGAGGGTTGATTGATATTAATTAGCTATTGAAAGGATTTCCTTTTAGATTTTAGATTTTAATATTAATATTTTAAACTCGAACTATAATACATATAACCATTACTTATAAATTTAGTAAAACTAGTTAATGAGAATAATTAAATTCGAAAGTAAGTATAAGTTTTTTTTTTTACCAATCTTTTATTCTTTAAATTACTAAAATTTAATGACATGATAAAGATGCGCACTATTACCAAATCTTCAAGATTCTTTTGTTGTAAATATTAAAGAAAAACAAAAGTCTCTAATAATCAAGCATGGTTTTAAAGCCTAAATATAGCCTTTAAAAATAATGAAAAATCAAATACTTTTTTTTTTCTTGGGACTATTGATTATTGGCGTTTGAATTGGACTTTAACGAGATGTTATTTTGAATGAATGTGCTCCTTTTCTTTGTTCAGTTTTTATCATTTGATTGAAGAATGAATGTGCTCTTTAAAAATTAAATTTTGATAAAAATTGAATTTGGTTAATCAAAATTTTTGTTTGGTAGTTTCTTCACAGAACTTATTTTGTTTGAGTATTGTTTATTTTTTTACAAATAATTTTTCTGTGTATAGAGTGTATGATATAGTTGGATTTTAGTAATTTAATAATGGTTAGAGAAATTTGATTAGATTTATACTTAGAAGAATAAGAATTTTTAATTCAAAATATTTTAAATATATCTATGTTAAATAGTGAAATAAGTAAATGTTAAATATCTATTATATTCTTATAATAATTAGTGATTAATTTTTACCTTGTACTATTACTGAATTTTAGAAGAAGACTTGTTGACTTGAAGTCTCAGTGGGCTTTGACAACGATGTTGCTTCATGGTAGATGACGATAATCATAATAAATTAGCAGCAAATACCTAAAGGTGAAAATTGTTTCATTACTAAAAGAAAAAACTATCTTAAAATCTTTAGTGAACATTGAGCCTGTTTTCATGAAAGCAAATTGAAGAGTAATATCTACCATGGACAAAGCTCTGTTTCTCAAAAACACCTAATTATAAATACCAGGTCTTTGGAAGACACAAGCCATCAGACTTCGTACAAGACTTCAATTTGCCCTCTCCAGAAAAATGAGTCGTACAAGAAGCATGTTGATATTGCAGAAGTGTGCACATATAGCTAGAACGAACAGAATGATACTTATACATAACATTGATAATTTTAAGGTACAGTTTTTTATTAAAAGGGACCATCCCTTTTAATGTGTCAACTAACTTGGCTAATTAGTTTAGCCAAGTATCTCAACATTGTGCTGCTGTCTGACACGACCTTATTCAAGAATGGAAGACATAGATCAAACCACAAACAATATCCTAGCAACCCACCAATCAACACTATACTTACATGAGATACTGAACAAGCAGCAGAAACCTTATTCACAATTTGAGGATAAACATGTTCCTAATTCCTAAAATGAATTTACACACTTGAGCCAACTGGGTCCCTCCAGATTACAGTGGCTGCATTCTTGAAATTTCCACCAAGATGTAACATCAAGTCACCACCATGAACCCTGCCTTCTGGGATATCAAAATTAATGTCTTTCTCCAAATTATCCTTGTTTCTACCTTCCTTTGGCTTCTCGGTAGCCAAGAACAGCGGAAGAGAAGATGATGACTTCATTGAGAGCGGAACCAACACTTCCTCTGGTATAAGATACTGCAGTTTTTCTGGCTCTTTCGTAGAATCGTTGTGCCCAGAAACAACAGTGACCCCCGAGGAGGAATTGTTGTTCTCAGAACCACTACGAGCGATGGAAGCAGAAGGTACAAGACCATGAAAGAGTCTTGAATTGAACAGACTTCCTTTGTTGATTTCCCTCCCCTGCATCATCAAGTTACTGTGAGCAGCACAGAGGCCACTCTTACCCCTTGCGAATTTCTCACACTTACCATCCCCCCAGACACATCTCTTTCCACCACCATGGGCCTTGCAGAAATCCGTGCTTCCCTGAGCACTCTTCCCACAACCTGCGAGCTTGCATCGCTTACCCCCGCCATGCCTAACACAACAATCAGTTCGGCCACGGGCACTCCTGGTACAGCCAGGCACAGCACACCTCTTCCCACCGCCATGGGCAACACAAAAGTTGGTGCCTCCATGGACACTCTTGGGGCATATACCACCTCCATTGAAGAGGCAGCGCTTTCCTCCTCCATGTGCCTTGCATAGTGGTGTGCTCCCCTCAGCCCCTTTGGTGCAACCTGCAGACAGTGGCAGCAACAGTAATTCATAATCATCTAATCAACTTATCTACATTATGATCCAGTAATTTCCAAACATTTAAATTGTACACAGGCCGATGGAAGAGCAGGTGGAACAGGCAATTTTGAGTCTTATGAAGAAGGATATAAGACCAAACAAAACCCTCAATAAAGTTATTGGATGGGATATTTTGATTAACAATTTATCTAAAAATTTGATTGTTGATAGAGTACAATAGCATTGTGCAACCCATGTAATCAACCCTGTTAATGGAATAAGACCTGTTGTATTTAAGTTAATGTTTAAATAGGCAAGGTCATTAAATAAAATCTGAAGTATTATGAGTTTTGGTTGAGAACCCATAGTTAACTTTTAACTCATTGTTCATTATTCTCTTGCTCTCCATTCTATTAAGTGATCTCAACGACCATGACATTTAACAATACAACCCAACAAAATCTAAAATATTTTGATATGAACAAAGAGTCAAAATAAGACTTCGATATGCAAGGCTAAAATGCACAAACTGCTACACTTTGTGCCAAATACAGCTAACTCTTCTAGCATTTAACACTTGACAATGGACCTTTGCTTCCTCCCCTTCCAGCCCAAGACTCGAGGTCGCGTAAATAACCCCAAATCATTTGTCAATTATTTTACTCACAGAAGCATGACATATAATCTACCACAAAATAAAAAGGAAAAGAAATTTGACATATTAAAAGATTATCGGTAAAAAAAAAGACTTAGAAAGAACTTTATCTCATCAATAAACTACATATTTACTAACGGGATTACTTGCACAGATTTTAAAATGTAAAAGGAATTTATGGTCCAAATTAGAATATCAACCAAATTATCTGCAGATGACCTAAGCTCTGAAACTTCGTGCATCTCAGCATTTGTTTCCTTAACGAACCATACTAGAAAATCTTCAATTGAGTGAATAAACTTAAATGAAAAACTTATATTAATGCTTGAAAAAAGAACATGTTTGTCTTCTTTATAAAAACATAAACTAGGGAGATATAGCTAAATAAGTGATAACTGATTTTTCTTAAAGAAAAATGGCACCTGCAAACGAGCAACGCTTTCCACCACCGTGTGCCTTACAGAGCGTGGTGCTTCCTTGGGAACCTTTTGTGCATCCTTGGTACTGACACCGGCGCCCACCCCCATGAGAGATGCACAACCCCGCCTTCCCCTCAGCACTTCTAGTGCACCCTTCGATCTTGCATCTCTTGCCTCCTCCATGTCTTATGCAGAGTCCTGACTTGCCTCTTGCAGCCTTGGTGCACCCGCTTGGATGTTCACATCTCCTGCCACCACCATGGGCTATGCAGTGATCTGTTTTCCCCTCAGCACTTTTAGTGCAGCCCAGATGTTGGCATCTTCTCCCTCCACCATGAGCCTTGCAATAAACCGTGCGGCTCTCAGCACCCTTATCGCAGCCTGGCTTCTGACATCGCTGTCCGCCCCCGTGTCCTATGCAAAATCCCGAAGCACCTCGAGCGCCTTTCATACATCCAAGAAAATTACATCTCTTGAAGTTGCTCATTCGATTCTCTGATAATGACGGGCCAAGTGAGCAATTTTTAGCATCAGATGGTTCTTGTGTCAGCAATAAACTTTTAGCAGTATCTGTTTTTGGAGCCAGTAGAAGTGAACCCATGTAGCTACCTGATTTCTTTGCCGAGGTGGAACCCTCATCAACAACAGGAAGCTTTGGATAGCTATTTTCAGCAGATGTTTGGCTTGAAAGACAGGACAAATTTGCTTCATTCTCAGATGAACCTGAACAGTCCAGAATACATGATGCCTCATAAGTTCCTCCAGAAAGACCAAGTTGAAGGATTGAATCACTGTCAGATTGCATGCACTGTGGAAACGCGCTGTCTCTTTCCTTCCTCTTTTTAGACCCAAGATTGAAGAATTCATTATCATATGCCCTTGGAGGCCGGCCCAGTCCCAGAACCAACCTGCATTGATCATCAGAAGAGTTGAAGAAATTCAATCCACCACTGTTTTTTCTACTGCTATAACGGGTTGTATTGGCTTTCCCAAAGCCAAACCCATTCAACGATAATGTAGTATCACCTATGTCATCTTTTATCTTGAGCTCAGCATCATGGGAATACAGTATAGTTTCCTGGCTTAGATCCATTCTATGTCATGCGCCTACACTACAATAGGTTAAATTAAAGGCGCTATAAACTTCACCATACAGAGCCATAAGATCTACAATGGTGGCAAAGAAATTCCATTGTACAACATCCACCACTCACAAAGCCCGAGGTATCTGATCTGTCCATATTTACTATAATCACGGACAAAGTTGCATGATTTTTTCAACGACGTCACTCAATGCTACCAAAATATTTTATAACAGCCATTGGAAAGAAACCTGTAGTGAGATTTTATAACGCTGATTTAAGGAGTTCCTTCTTCACGAATCCTGACCCAAAAAAAACAAAAGGAGATACATGTTCAAGAAAAGTTGAAAGCGCGTAAGGAAAAGAACATCAGCCTAGAGACAGGGACGGAAATATGAAAATGGCAGAGAAGAGGAAAGATTGTAAAATATAAGTTTAATAGTAAAGCAACCGGAGAAGCTGACCTTGACTATCTTAATCGAAGTAGGATGATCCACGCCCTCCCTGAAAAATCGAATTCAAGTCAAAAAGTGCTTTCAGAGCATAAACTAAAATGAAATCGATTTTTCAAAAACACCAGAGAATGCTAAAGTCTTTAGGACTCCGACATTTTCATCATCCCTCCATAAAATCTCCTTTCCCCGTCATCTCCAACCAAAATCCCGCCAAAGAAATGTGAAGTTGCTTCTGCATGAAAGTTGGGCTCATGAAGCAATTCAAGACTAGAGCTAGGATGGAATTCTTATCGAGATCAGAATATTCAACTCAACATTAAATGCTTAAGAGACTAAATATGATATATTGCAGAGCATTAGCCTCTTCCATGTAAGAATGCAGAGGATCTGCAGAATCAAAATTTCACACATCCCTTTCCCTTGGAAGATGAGCTTAAAAACGTAAAATTTAAATATAGGGAATTTATATGAATAAAAAGGAACAATGACGGTAATCCTTTGATAGATTGCCAATTCCCAGCATCGCACTTACAATTCAAGTAAACCAAATGATAAATAGAATCACGTCCAAGATAAGTTTTCCATACGGAGATTCTTACTAGACCGGAACGATAACAAGAACCCAAATAAGTGCAAAACTTTCCGTTCAGAATCCCAAAAATCTTCCGCTACTCCTTAAAAATATTAATTGAAGCTATCACCAATTCAACTAGCAACAAAACAGCTTCAATCCAGAGTAAATCGGTCCTCAACTCAAAAGCATCCCTGACTTTCGAAACTCCATCACGCCAATTACAGGGAATGAAAAACAGTAGCAGCAGCGGACAAAAAATAGGGGAAACCAGCAAGAGGAAGCGATATCATCGAAATTCCAATACATAACAGTAGCATAATCAAGGATACAACTAGCAAAAACACACAAGAAGATTGAATTATGCAAAATTTTGTCCAAATTGGAAGATACGCCGCAGCTATGATAAATCTAGACGAAACTTTCAGATAATTACCGAATCTAGTAAGCGCCGAAGGGTATCCGTGGGCATCCAAAGTCCGCAATGAAGAGAATAAAAAGGCTAGGCTTTCAAAGTGAAGAAGAAGAACAGGACCATGACGAGACGAGACGAGACGATGAAAATCGGACGAAAATGTAGGGAAGGGATATTTATTACGTAACAACAACTGCTCCAAATAAATGGCCAAAATGACAATAATTAGTGGGGATATTTATTTTTAAATTTAATTTTCACAATTTAAAATTTATTCTTAAGAAAATCTTAGTATATTTAGTTAAGTGCTGGTATTGATTAAAAATAATAACATACGATAAAGAAAAAACGATTTACACGTATAGGGCCTGATGCCCATTCATTTATATCCATACGCACTTTTAATTTTTTGACCTCACTAAAATAACAAATTTATGATATAAAAATACTACTAAGGAAATTAACTACTTTATATATAAAATAAAATAATAATTAATAAATGTGCTAATAAAAATCGTACAGTAATAATTCTTTTTTTTTTCTTTCCCACCAGTATTAAAATTTACTGAATATAAATACGGTATGTAGTAAAACATAATTACCTCTTCAAAACATTATGCGGCTCATGAAATACGGAAAATGACACAAGTGGGCCAATAAAAGTACAAAACAAGTTTCACATGTTTTCAGGTCAGGGCATTCATTTGTCTACACTTTTAATTGAAAATGACCAACATGAAGTTCCGAAACTAGCCCCATCTTGTGCCTCTTGGCAGGTCGAGTCAAACGAGGGTGATTTCGTCTTTTCGTGGCCTGTCGCTGTCTCGGGGAACTTGTCTTTCGAGAGAAATTAGTGGCCGACCCCGAGGCGACAGTTGAAGTGGTCCTCTCACAGCTCCGGATCTACTGCGGTGGCGACAAGCAATATTCAACTTATTGACCGTAGATTTATGGCGAAATTTAAGTCTTTGTAATAAATAAGCAAAGTCGACGGTATAAGAGTTATTTGACTGTGAAGCATTACCATATGTGATTGCCTCTCCCAAGGAAGAATCTATGCGATCCGTGAGATGATGACGTAGACTGGGCCGCTGGGGTGCGGCATCGTTTTCAGGCGTGGAGTGGTAGTATTACTTTTGTCCGTCCAATAAGGAGTCGATTTATCAGCAAATCAAAAACAGACACGTGTCCCAATAGGCATTCCGTGGTGGGCCCCTCGATGGTTTGTCTACGTGGCCTCAGGGGCCCGCATAACGGAGCAGGGGTGATGGGTCTCAAGCAATTGCGACCTTTTTTTTCCCCTTTTATTTGAGTCCCTATAATTTTAGTAAACAAAGGAGGTGGTGATTATATTTTCCTTTTAAATTTTTTTGATGCCTGAATCCTTCTTTAGCTTGAAAGCTAAAAGGAAAATTAAAAATCTAGGCACTTTCTAATTCTGTGACAATATAACAGCACAGGCAGTTTGGATGCCCTTACAATCAATTAAAAAAAAATTATTTTTATGGAAGTGGGAAAAAAAAAACTCTTGTTGCATACTTAAACGTATTACGCGCTTTTATATTTTCTTTATTTTTAACTAGTCAAATTTATGGTTGCCAAAAAATTAAATTTTCTGCAAATAAAGCCTAACTGAAACTCATTGATTAAATTTACTCTTAAAATTGATGAGGCTTATCATGTTCTCCCTGACACATCCAGACTTTTTCTACCAGCAAATAGAACTTTCAATTCGATTTGTTATCGTCATTTCATGTATGGGGAAAAAAATTGGATATGAGTAAATAACAAGAATGACAATTTTTGTTCCATTAGATAGGGTAAGCTACATAAATCTCGTAATGTTATTGTGCTTTATTAACATCTAAATTTTTAGATATATCATTGATCAAAAAGTTTCGTTTAATGACCTTATTAAACATTCTTCTTGGTTATCCTCTGCTCTCTTTTTATAAGACCCCAAACTATTTGATCTACCCTGTGTACCAGTCCTTTTAATGGCCTTCTCTGCACATGCCCAAACCACCTCAAATGATGTTTAACTGTTTTCTCTTCGATAGGCACCCTACCTATTGCTGCACTGATATTTTTATCTTGAATCTTATATTTTCTTATATGAATACACATTCATCTCAACATTATTATTTTTACTGCCCCAACTTTATGCTCTTGTTTTCCCTTTAGAGCCCAACATTTACTACCATGCAATATAGATGGTCTTATAGCAATCTCATAGAATTTTTTTTTCGTAAGTTTCTCAGGCACCTTCTTATTATAAATAACTCTGGTAGCCTTCCTCCATTTTAGCCACCCAACTTATATTCTATGAAAAACGTTTATATGCATTTCATCATCCTCGTGTATAATGAATCTTAGATATTTAAACTTTGACACTTGAAAAATGATTTGATCTTCCATCTTCACCTCTAAATCACTATTGACTTGTATCCCACTAAAATTACAATGTATATATTCTGTTTTGTTCCTACTTGAGTGAAAACCTTTCGGCTCGAAGGTCTTTTTTCATAACTTCAATATAGAGTTAATCTCTTCTCTTGATTTAGCTATGAGCACTATGTCATTCGTAAAAAGCATGCACTTAGGGATTTCTTATAGCTAGAATAAGCTCAGTTAAAATATTTATAACAATATTAAACAAATAAGGACTCAAAAAAGATCCCTAGTGTATGTCAATCTTAATAAGAAAGTCCTTTATTTCACCTTCAGATGTTCTTATACTAGTAGCTATCCCCTTGTACATATCTTGTATGGCTTTAATATATGCAACCTGCACATTTTATTTTTCCAAAGTTTTCTAAAGTACTTCTCTTAGCACATGATCATAAGCTTTTTACAAGTTAATAAAAACCATATGTAAATCCCTTCCTTTACTCCTATATATTTCCATTAACCCCTTTAGTAAATAAATTGCCTTTGTTGTAGACCTCCCTGGCATAAATTCAAATTGGTTCTCAGAAATGGGAGTCTTCAACCTCAACCTATGTTCAATTATTTTTTCCTACAACTTCATTGTATGGCTCATAAGTTTTAGTCATCTATAACTTAAACATTTTTGAATATTTTCTTTATTCTTGCAAATAGAAACTAAAGTGCTTTTTTCTCCATATATTTGGCATAGTCTTGGAGGGTGAAATTTTATTAAAAAAACTTAGTTAGCCATAGTTCACCCTTCCGCTTGCACATTTTCAGACTTTCATGGGAATACTGTCAAGTCTAACGACTTTACCATTGTCTATTTTTTTAAGAGCTGTCTTAACCTCTTTGATATGAATAAATGAGCAAAAAAAAAAAAACAGAGAAGATATAGAAAAGAGTTGACCAGTCCTGCCAAGACCTCAACCATGCATTACCATCTTCATTATAATATGGGGCAATTACTATAGAGTCCTAAAGAAGACATTTTACTACTAAAAGATCCCTTGAAATAACAAAACAAATCTGAAGTCCCTAGGAACTTGGGTGTGAGTGATTTGGAATGTACAATTACGCAGTTGTCCTTAATGATTAATTTCCAAAAGTTCGCCCGTTTGTTTGAATCCCACCCTCCTCCTTCAACCCCGGTCTCCCACTCTGTCAATGTCTCCCACCCTAATCTTGTGTCTTTTCATTTCTTTCCAATGTTTAACCGCAAATCTTGATCTATGGCATATTCTTTTCCTGCAACATGACTCTCCAATACTGTCATAAAGAATCCTCCTCATCTTCATCCTCTCATACGAATCAAGGTCTTCCTCAAGAAGCCGTGCCCAAGGCCACTTCAAGCTTTTTATTCCATTGTTTCTTCTTGTAATTATTTAATTCAAAAGGCAATCATATGAGAAGTTTTAGGGTATATTGAAATTATGAGAAAAGCACAAGATGGAGGGGCAACTTTTCTCTTATTTATTTTGGTAATATTAAATTAAAGATTCATTTATGATCTCTTATCATTCCTAGTAGGAATATTACATGATTGCCTAGACATATGCATGAAAGAAGCGATGGATCGTCACTTAAAATTTCCAATTTAGTGCATGATACAACTGCAATTTTTTCTCCCCATGTATTGCTTAAAACTCCTTAAATTTGTGCAGCAGCTTTTTACCAAATCATTAAAGATGGAGTCGAATAGAGCATTAGAGATGCATTTGACTGTGTATCTAAGAGTTGAACACATTTCTTAGTCCTTGTTCATTTGGTTAATTGTCTCAACTAGTTTGACTAAACTTATGATAGTTATATGCTATTCGCTTTTGGCTGATTGATTTCTTGTGTCTTTGGTTGAATAGCCATATATGTGTAACTATTCTTTTTTTTTTTTATTAGTTATCTCGTAATTCTTTGTCAACCAATTATGATTATGTTGAAAGTCACTAGTTTAGATATTAGACAAGGTAACGCCAAAGCATTTTATATTTTTCATTATATGGGGAAAAATTATGGCCGGAATGCATAAATATAAAACTCGAATCATACGAAATGTCACATTTTATTTGATGGAAGAAATATAAACAAGATGTTGCCGTTATGATGATTCTTCGTACCGGAGCACATGCGGCATATGCAGAGCATGCACGAGCTATTCCAAAGTGACATGGTCCTCTACTAAAATCGGCCATATATTTTGAGTGTTGCGAGTGCTCCTCCTTCTCATGAAAACGATTTAAGAGGAAGGAATTAACGAGCAATACTTTTGAATTGCAATGATTATTGGGATACAAGATGAATTTTTTTTTGTTTTTATGGATTTTGCAACTTAATAAATTCTTTCATCTGTGTAGCTATTCAAAGATGTTGCCCCTGCAAATACAGAAAATTTCCGTGCTTTATGTACTGGTAATAATTTTATAGTTATTGCCCTTTGGCAAAACTGATTAATTGGACAAGCCCTTAGACAGGCTAATGTATTTAGATTTTATGACATATGACATAGGTTCCCCATTCTCATTTAG